AAGCTCTGCCGTTCCTTTCGCGATGGACTAGGAAATGGTTCTTTAGTTATGGGGGACTCAAGAAAGACCCCAAATGAAGTTTGTGGGGGGCTCTCCCGGAGAGGTGCCTCTCCCTCTTTGCGAGCAGTCGTGACTCACGTGATGGCATCCCCTCACACACTCAAGTGGCAGAAACCCTGCAGCACGGACATGTAGAAACAATAGATTAACTCCGGGGGTTCAGAATCTCCTCATTCAGATCAGCTTTACAGGGCAAGGAGCAGAGAGCGAGTCTCACTTTCAGCAACTGCCTGTTTTGTCCATGAGGCCTGGTAGGGCCCTGCCCTGCCCCATCGTTGGCCCTGCTCTGTGGGCCCCACATTCCTGGGGAGGTCACATAAAGCACAGCGGCATTCGCGTACCCTTCATTCTTAGTCACTGAGGCGTCTGTTAGCAAAAGAGCCGACCGCTTCTCAGGGGGCGACATGGCCCCGAGCAGAGGCCACTGTCATAGCCGAGAGGAAGGCAGAGCCACGGGAGAGCAACGGAGAGGCAGGGGTGGCAGTGAATACAAGTCCGAGCCACGGGGAGAACCCGCGGGGCAGGGAGGAGAGTCCACTGTGTTATTCTGCCTGGTCACATTACAGGAAACCACATCGCGAGAACGGGGGAGCCCTGCTCTTGCAAATGTGGATGTGACAGACTGAATGACTGTGCACCTCCCAATCCACAAGGTGACGTCCTAACCCCAGCACCATAGCATGAGGAGGTGAGGCCTTCAGGTTTGGATGAGGCGATGAGGGAGGACCCCCCATGAAGGGATGGGTGCCCTTGAACGAAGAGACCCCAGAGCTACCTCTCTCCACCACGTGAGGACGTAGCAAGAAGGTGGCCACCTGCAAACCGGAAGGACAGCCAGCACGGGGAACTGAATTTGCCGCCACCTTCATCTTGGACTTCCAGCCTCCAGAACTGTGAGAAATAGGTACCTATTGTTCAAGCCACGCAGTCCATGGCATTTTATTTTAGCAGTTTGAGCCGAGATACTGGACGTTGCAGGCGGACCTAGTGCCCCCACCTTAATGATCTACGCTTTGAATTGGAATCAAGTGGAAGCTTCCAAACATTCCATTAATGTGAATCTTCATCTTAAACACAAATCCTAAATAAACTCTAGCCCTAAACTTTTTCTCTCCAATCTTCCCTTACACTTGTACTAGTTTATCTAGGTTAACCTTCAGGGTATATAGAATTTTCTTTCAAAACTACAATACGAGGATTGCAAGACTAGAGAATAGATGGCCCTCTGAAGTTAAAATCGGTCACCCCAAAATAGGTGAGCTATGAACATGACCACCCATGAGGTAGCCTGCCCCTCAGATCACAGGAATGAATCTGTAAGAAAGACGAGAACAAGGAAAGGAGCTGAAAATAGTAGAAAAGAAAAGACAAAATTATCGTTATTGGCAGAGGAAAGAACTGTCCACCTGAGAACCCTACAGAAGCCACCAAAAAATAATCAGATCATCTGTAGTTCAGTGAGATGGTTATAGAGTTAAAAGTACAAATATCAGTAGTTTTCCTAGATATCAGCAAAAAACAACTAGAAAATGCTTTGGAGAAAGACTATTGAGAAGGACAACAAACCCCAACGACCCATGACATACCCAGAAATAGAACAAAAAGATCTATGTGAAGAAAATTAAAAACCTTTATTGAAAGTCATAAAATGCTGTAAAGAGAATAATACAGATATCAATTCTTTCCCCACCGTGCTCCAATTTACTTATAAATTTAATGTAATTCTGCCTGCTTATGGCATTCCATTCTTTTTCTGGGAGCCTTGGATATTCTATTCTTGGTTGTCTGTGAGACCTGAATAATTCTCTTTTTTTAGCTCATGTGAGTGGGTTTTAGCCAAATGGCTAAGTCAGCCTAGGCTACCCTCTGTCTCTTGTGGGCTCATGTATCTTGGATCTCAAATCCTCCCGTACATTCTCCTGCATCTCTCTCCAAATGGGTTTTTGCAGCTTCCTACAAGAAAAAAAAAAATTTTTTTGCTTTAAAAAAAAAAAATGTTTTTTTGCAGCTTTAATCCAGCTTTGGTTCCAATTCAACGACTTCTTGCCATTAACGCTCATTTTCCATGATGGTTCGTTCGGACTCACAAGAGAAGGATCCTGATTGGCTGAGCCTGCCTCTCGGGTCGGGTACCCACCACACTGACCCAACTGGCTGTAGCTAAGAGAAGCAGAGGCCCGTGGAAGAAAGTCTGAGTTGCATCAAGTCCGGAGGAAGGGTGTTGGTGATAGAGGCCATGATTAAATCTTTGCCACATGGGTCTACCATTATTAACGGTGTCCATTTATCAGACACCTACACGAGCCAGGCACTCAGGTGTGTGACCTCGTTTTAAATTCCTGACATCTCTCCATCCACCTTGCCAAGTAGATGTTATCATCATCTCGATGGTCAGGAAACTGGCTGCTCAAGTAGGTCACATGGCCAACCGACCTGTAAGTCAAAGATGAAGCCGGCTCCGTGCCTCAAGTGTTGGGGTCTTGCCTGCCTGAGTTGGGGTTCCAGGGCCACGTGCCCCAGGCTGGGATACACTAATCAACTGTGCCTCTGGGTTTGAGAGTCTGAGCACCCCCTCTCCTGGATGTTGACCAGACACTGCGCCAACCAGCCCCCCACCCTATTTACCTAGAAACTCCTACCATCTCTTTAACAGATCGCCGAGGGTGACGGGGCCTCAGCGGGACTTGAGTGATTCTCCAGTTGGACGAGCTGCCTCCCCTCTGCCACAGCACGATTCTCTCCCTTTGGCCATCTGTTTATCTGAGCCTCTTCCCCTCCAGCCTGCCAGCACCTCGACGAGGGGTGGCCCTGCACCAAGGCAACCCATAGTGACAACTCAATACATATACATGGGACAAAATTGAATCAGCGACGCTCCGACTCGCTGACACCCTGTGCAGCCCCACTTGGGCGCACCCTGGGGACGTCCTCCCTTCTCCCTAGGGTGAACACGGTGGCCACAGGAACGGACAGGCCCCCCAAAAGCCTGGAGCTGCCTCTCCTTCCTGTGGCTCTACAAGGCCATAGACTCACCACACCCAAAGTCCACGCAGAGGGGGACCCGGTTGGAGTCTCTCCCCTGCTGTTTGACACCCTCGGGGATCCACCTGCGAGGCAAAAAGTTAACTTCGTCCCTGTGGCTCAGAGGAAGTCGGACACGCCCTCGGGCTGTGACAGGGACAGGCAGGTGCATCGGAACCGTGAGGGGCCTCTCCGACATCACGGCCCTTGCCTGCTCTCCGCCTTCTGCACCTACGGGCCATCGTTTCTGAGGGAATGCTTCTTGTCCTTCAAACATGGGGGAACCACGCCCTGGGACTCCCTGCTTTGCCTGGAGTGTCCCCTCCAGGGGGAGCAACCTCCCTGTGAAACCACATCTGCTCCCAGATGGGTCAGAGCCAGAGAGACCGACACCGGCTGTCAGGGCCAGGCGCGCCCAGCAGGGAAGGCCAGCTTCCCTCACGAGAGATAGGGGGAGGATGGGGAGCACGGGGTGCCGGGAGGACGGGGTGTGAGGGACATCATGCATGGCGTAGCGTGTGTTTCTCCTCCACTTCCTTCCCGTTGGCACTTTAGGGAACTCCGAAGAAGACTATGTCACAATCCTTCGAATTTCTGTGGCACCCTTACCCGCTCCCCAACCCCCGTCTCAGGAAGCTTTCTATGGAGTGTCCCCCCCAACCACACCTGCTGTCCTCTTTTCAGTGGGGACTACGGGCCGTCCGGAGCCCCAAGGAGCCCTGGCTGGTTCCCAGCACCGAGCAACCCTCTTCAGTGCTTCTATAGCTGGACACCCGTCAGAGGATCCTGGGGCTTCTCCTGCACCCCCACTCCCGTCCCTGACAGGCCCTGACAGATAACCGCCCAGGAGGAGACAACAAACACATTTTCAGATGGATTTTTCAAGACATTTAATCCTCCCAGGCGCGCCAACCCTTCCCCATCTGCGACGGCCCTCACCCCAGTCGTCACCGTGCACGCTGGCTGCTTCCGCCACACTTACGCCCACAGCGCCAGGCACACGGGTGTGAGCGTGCACACACTCACAGCACTGGCCCTGTCGTTCCGCCACTCCTCACGTCCACCCGGGTCCTGGCTGAGGAGCTGGCAGAGGAAAGCGACCAGGTGCCCACGTGGTACACTGCGCTGTCACGAGCGTCTGGGGTGCCGAGGATGACATGCGGCTTCCACACGGGGCCTCGCGTGGCACGGCTCAAATAGCAGCCAGACTCGGGGCCGGGGGCTCCTGCTACCTGGGGCGCAGAGGCGGGCACGCACCCAGGCCCTGGCCCGTGACCCCAGAAAAGCCACCCTCCCCACATGGAGGATCCCCCCTCACTGCCCGTGGAGCCCTTCGTGGTCAGGTGTGCGAAGCGATTTACCTGTGAGGTTTGCAGGGGAAGAGATGGGACAAGAGAGAAGCCAGACAGCTTCTTCGAATTGCAAGGTGTGGGAAATAAACCTAACAGGTAGCAAATCGATCTGTGCCGCTCGGGGACAGGGGGCCGGGTGGGGACAGGACAACCAGCTTCCCCCCGGAGCCCCGCAGGGAAGCTGCAGAATGGCCCACCCCCTTCAGAGCTCTGAAACGTGCCCTCTGGGTTACCCTGGGTGACCGCGCCAAACACAGATGCATCGCCCTCCCTCTGCTCGTTCTCCTGGATGAGTCACAATTCCCCAGCAAAACTGCTGAAGGTCTGGGACCCCAGGGACCAGAGCTCTAGCCCCATCATAAGAAAAGGTATTGTGATCACCAGTGGCACTTAGTACTCTGCAGACGAGTCAGGCAGGGCTGGGAACGGAACAGCTTCTGCGAGCGGCCCCGTGCCTCGGCTCTGACCTTCAGGGAAGGAAGGAACAGACAGCTGGCGTGCGGTCACCTCTAACAGCGGGGACTTCCCAGACCGATATAGAGGGAGGGACAGAGGCAGACACTCCAATCACGCATCTCAACTCCGTTTTATTACAACATCGAGGGAACTGGTTGCAGGGAGGATGATGCTGGAGATGAACGCGGAGGGCGAGCCACTCACGACCGCACCGTCAGCCTTCCTGAGCGGGTACGGACGTCACGGGGCTCTGGACATGCATTGGGGACCGCTGTGTGTGTGTGTGTGTGTGTGTGTTGTGTGCAGATGATTTCTCTCTGGGGTGTTTTCTTTAATTTCTTGACAGATGATGGTTGAATCCGGTGTCTTCTGGCAGACTAGGAAGGGGCTCTCCCACTAGGACTGGGACCCAGCCTTTTTCTTCTGGAATTTTCTGAACTGAGACTGAATGGCCACCGCCGCACGTTCTGTCTCTGGCGCATCCATGTCGATGTCAAATTCCTCCTGAACTTTCTTCTGCCCATCTGTAGCAAGAAACACAGACAGAAGGCAGTCACTGAGCGGGAGGGAAGCAGGCCGGAAGGCAGGCAGCGGCTCTGGATGAGCAAAGCCCCCAGGCCGCCACGTGGCGCACACTCAAAGCCCCCAGCACAAGGCCAAGTTTGCAAACGACAGTCCGGCGGCGCGAGCCCAGCCCTCCCGGGAACCGGCTGTCTTCCGGCCACCTGATACCTACATCTGCAAACGCGCGAAGCTCAAGGGCACAGGCTCGAGGCCTCACGTGTGTCCTGCACGTGGCTCCTGTTTCTCAGGCCTACTGTACGGACACTGGCAAAGGTACTAGCTGGGCTGGTATCTTCGCCTGTTATCTCGTGGAGCTACAGTTCACACAGTGCTACAGAGGTTGGCGCCATGGCAGCCGCTAGGCTGAGTTACGGTCATTGCGTTTCTGGGTGTACGTCCGATGCCAGCGCGATCTGCTTACGGGACGAGGGCTCCCGGTTTTACCACGGTCACGACCGGACGGTACCGTCTGACCTTCGCAGTGGCCCCACTTGACAAGTCCTACAATTTTCCTCCAACCAGGTAGGCTAGGCCATTGGCTTGCTGAGGCGGGAGGATTTGACTAATTCACATTGTCATGATGGTTGAAAACATGATATAAGCCGAATCCCCGAGAAACCACGAGCTGATTGTCCCCTTGTGCTGTGCGTCTTGCTGAGCGCTGGCCAATTTCAGGCCAAACGTGAAAAACAAATAAATAAATAAAATCCATTAGTCACAGAAAGGGAGAATCTTTACACCCCCTCAGTCCACTGAAAGCTAATCATCAGAAGCACCAAGGCATCTGTTTTTCCTTTTAATACTGACACAGGGGCCCACCCAGACTCTGGCTGCCTCTCTGCACAGCCACAGTGGGAGGCGCTGCTGAGGGCAGGACCAGGTCAGATGTTGGTGTGCCCGGGGCGCGGCCGGACAGCCCGCTTTTCTAAAAGGCTCTCAGGTGGTTCTAAGGTGCAGTCTGAGTTGAGAATCAGCTACTTCGTTTATAGCTGACGTGACAAATAAGGCCCTGGAGTTAGCTCAAGGCACCTGGGCCAAGAGCCTCCAAGCCGCCTGGGCCTGCATTTGGAACCTGGCCGTGTGAGGGGCACATCCAGCTTGGGGACAGGAAAATCAAGGACATTGAGGCAGGAGAGAACGCTCCGGGCAAGGGCCAGGGACAGGAACCTATTCCCAACTTTGTCAGCAGGCGGCCTCAGTATGTCGTTCAACCTAAATGTGACGCACTCGCTCACTTCCTCTCGGTGGCTTTGGATGACGATACCCGGGCAGCACAGAGGACGGAGGACACTGCCGAGAAGGAAGGCAGGCTGTTCTCCCCGGCTCGTTCTGTTCCGACTCTTAGGCAGGTAGGTAAGTAGTAGGTAAGTAGGAAGGTAGGTAGATACAGATAGGTAATGATAGACAGATTAGGTAGATAGATGATAGATAGGTAGGTAGGTAGATAGATAGATAGATAGATAGATAGATAGATAGATAGATAGTAGATAGATAGATAGATGGATAGATAGGAGACAGATAATAGGAATTCTTTATCTATCTATCTTCTATCTATGTATCATCACATTTTAAAATGGTTCTCATCTCAGATGCATCTGGTTGTGTGACTTTGCCTCTGCGGACCCCAGAGCAGCCTCCTCTCAGTTCTCCTGGAGATAAGCAGGTCCCCCCGTGACCCCTGCAATCACACCTCCATCTGGGAGGACAGGACACCGGCTTCACGAGCCTTGGTGGACTGATTGCTCTGTGACCTAAATCAGTAGAATTGTTTTCCTCTATCCCAGATTTGCTGCCGATGCCCATAACAGCAGAGATTTTGAGTGCACCAATGTCCAGAGACTATTTGGGGGCCATCCATTGTAACCCACGAGCACCCAGACGATCGGAGACTAAGTGGTAGAGAGCCCTTCACACTTTAATCCGCGGCTCGGGGGCCCTTTCTTCAGAGAGGTAGGACCACTGAGAGGGATAGGAGTTCCTGAAGCTCCAGCCTATGCCTTAAAAACGTTTCACGAACATTATCACAGGAGCCCAAGACCGGAGAAGGAATATCCAGCAAAGCTGAAAGGTGAATGGCTGCGACTCACGTGTTCACAGCAATAAACCCTTCAGTGCCAATAACATCTGCATAAGGAGCTCCTTTGGCATGAAGAATTGTCATTTTTCACATGATTTAGAGTCCCCGATCCTATTCCTCCCGGAGAAACCCCTGCATTCACGGTATTATGATCGCAGAGGGGACAAATTAGCTCTGATACGAAAAGACACAGAAGATTTCTCTTTTAGATTTAAAATGTCGCTGCAACCTGAAGTTTTGAAGGGCTGATTCATCTTTTCCCTTTTATAATGATAACCAAAAAAAGCAATATTATTTTTTGACAAATGATAAATGAAGAAGCAGGAAATTATGTATGTTTAGGGACTATATAATGAGACAGTAAGAACGGGTCATAAAAGTAGATTTCCTAATTATATCGTAAACTAATATCCTCAGTCAAAAGCGATTTACGGATTCCTCCCTCGTTTGAAAACTATTGCAGTGTTTACAAAAGAAACGGCTATTATTTCAGGAACCGTTACTTTCCGTTTACTCCGTACAGTGGAGCATTCCCTGGGGAGGGCCTGCCCGTGTGTCCCCTTCTTCCGGGCCGGCCGGGGGTGTGTAGAGCAGAGGAAGGGGACCCGGACTGCAGTGGCGAAGAGACGACTAATTAGATTCGGTGGCACAGGGCTCAATGCAAACGAGGTGAGTGCGTGGAGATGGCCCCCTGAGGCCCCAGGAGCCAGACATGCACAGCTCTGAGCATCCCGGACTCAGCAGGAGAGAAGGGATGACATGAACGGGCATCCAGAGGGACCACAGCCAGGCGCCAGCCCTCAAGGCCACTCTGCCGAGCCTCGGGCCCTGTGGGAATCCGCGCTACCTGCCAAGGCTCCCCTTCCGTGACCTTGGTGGTAGCTGCCACAGTGGGGTGCAGGGGGGCCCATGAGAGCCTCCCCTCCCCGCTGTCACTGTCGGGCCGAGGCGCGGTGAAACTCAGAGAGGACCTCGCCAAGTCTGCTGGGAACAGGAAGGGCGCTGGGAGGGCGCGCTCCCTGCGGGGTGCACCCCCCGCCTCGCCCCACACTCTGGTTCTTCGCGGGGCAATCTCCGCCTTGCTCTCCTTCTTCCTCTCCTCCCTGGTCTGTGGTCCATCACCCCACTAAAGTACGAGCTCCCTAAGGGAGGACTTCGTCTGCCCTGTCCCAGCAGCTCACGCAGGGCCTGCCACATAGTAGGTCAGTCAGCAACCACTGACTCCCAGTGAGTCCATTAATTAATACGATGGGCAGCTGTCCAGCGCATGCCTTTATCTGAAGGACCAGACCGAGCCCTTCGCCCTCAGGGTAACCATTTCACCTCCATGCGGGAGGGGGTCCTCACCCCCCTGCCCACCACCAGGCCGCTGAGGAGGGGGCAGGGAGGCGCCCGGCAGAGCCGCTGAGGGGCCAGCCGAGGGGGGCCATGCACAGGCGACAGAGGGAACGAGTCAGGAGGTTGTCTCGCTGATGGAAAACACGGCCACGTTCAAACATAAGAAAGCGTTACTTAACCGCAGTGAGCCCAGGGGATGGTCGGCTCCTGCGTAGACAGCAGCAGGACACGGGTGTCCAGGGTGCCACCTTCAGATACGCAGCTCCTGAGAAACCCCCATTCATGTGGGTTCTCTTGCCAGGCACCTCTGGGTGGGCTTTCGAGCCCCTCCGTGCAGAACAGTGACTGCCACCAGATCAGCGACTGCCACCAGCCCCCCACCAGGGCAGGCCTGGCTTCGGGCAGACCAAGCGCTCCAGACTCCTGTGGGATGAGGCCGACGCCCCCGCGCCCCTCCCCCGATGAGGCAGCCGGCAGGAGCAGGTGGCGTGGGTCCGGGCGAGAGCAGGTGTGGGTGTCTCCGACTGTTCCATGACTCCCAGAGGTGCATGGCTTCTGTGAGTCTCAGTATGCTCATCTCAAAAGTGAAGTAAAATCCTTTCTCTGAAAGCCTGCTCCGCCTAGGCCCCAGTGTTATGTGCAGGTCAAGGCCATTTATAAATTAAACCTCGCGGCTTCACGGAGACGTCTGCAGGCTGCACGTGGACGGTGAGCTCGGCCTGGCATTTTTGTTCCGGATTCACGGCCCGAAGCGGGCAGGACGCACAGGCTCCGGTTCCCAACGGCAGCTCTTCATCAGCCCGAGCAAATGAGCAATGTCTCACGAGAACACTTTGTGGACAGCCCGGCACGGTCGTTAATATGTGCATGTCTCTGGGGTTCTGGAATTTTCTCATTTCTGCGTGTCCCTCTGTGAAGAAATTCTGAAGCCGACCGAGAGAATGGTCAACAGATTATCTGTCCCAATTAGCTGGTTCAGTACAAATAGAGCGGTCACCAACTCCCCTCCACCGTTTTCCTGACCTCCTAGTCAGGAGGTGTGAGAAGGACCCGTAACCGCACTGACCACGGTGCTGGGTGGGCCGGCAGCTGCCACCCGCCCTTCAGAGCCCACCCAAACTCTGCCAGGTCCGCCACCTGGAAGACCTGGTCTCAGAGTCAGGGGGCAGTCTGAGGGGCTGAGGACCAAAATCCACCAGGCTGGGCAGTTGACATTGTCCACGTCCCCGTTACCCACCCGTCCACGTGTGCCTCTCTCTTCCCTCCCCGCTTCTCTCTCCCCGAACAAAGAGCACAGCCCCAAAACGGTCCTGAGCAATGAGACTTTGCCCCCGGGACCAAAACTCCAGGAAACGACCGACACACGACACAGAGCTCTGCGGACGGCCCCGGCACAGCGAGATGCTGCTCCTCGAGGCTCAGGACGCCTCGCGGTGCGGTTCGCCAGGGCCACGACCTCCCCGCCGGGAAGAAACCCAGGCCTGTTCGGATCTACGTTTCGCACCATCGTAGACATCGCTTACGCTATTCTTCTGAAATAGTATA